GCCTTTCGGATTTGGGTTCGGAACGAGGATATCCCAGTCCTTTGTGTCAGGACACCCCTTACCGACCCCGTAATGAAGTTACCCTTTTGGGGAAAGGGACTTCCGAGAAACGCGTGTTTGCCATTTGGCATAATTTAGTACGCCTCCGGCCGCCAAAGACACAAAAGTCATATTTGCGTATTAAGTCCAGGAAATTAAACAATTACAAAGTTTATTGGCTGCAATCAAGCCAACACCCTCACGCCTCAAAAAAAGGACCCCATCATGTGTGATTCTAGTTAGGATTCTGTCTAAATTATAACTTTTTCCCATCACACATACAGAAGGAAAAGTTGCACAAAAGTTAAGTGAAGTTATTCCAATAGAAAAGTTTATTAGTTTTAGTATTTTAGTATTTTAATCTAAAAAGTGTTTTTAAATTGTTGTGGATCAGGTGTCTACATTTTTTCTCTGTGTAGTCCAGGATTTTTCAGGCTCTACGTAGGGCCGGTTGCAAGTTTGCTGCCAGCTCAAGCGCTTATTATAAATGAACTCAAATTTAATTAACAGTTTCCCATATTTTGTTTCACTCCGTCCAGGAACACGTCCCGTCTCCAGCTCCATCTCCAGCTCCCATACCATTGCCAGACCTATCATCATCTTCGTCAAGATGTCTGTGTTGTGTCTCCATTTCAGGCTTCATCACGAACAATATTAGCGTCATTGTGTGGTTGGCCACTCCAGGTTCGGCGCCCAAAAAGCGTTGTTAACTAAACTTTTACGAAAAAGGCAGAGCCACGGAAAACCGAAGCCGAAGCCGTGACCGTAAACGTTGACTGAGCCATAACCGTAGCGCGTGTTGGCCAAAGAAGAAACTTGAAATTCGCTGCCACAGAAAGTGGCACTCTTGGCATAAACAAGTCTGCCAAAAAAAAGAAAATAAGGAAAGACTAGGACTGGCAGAAGAAAATCCGGTGTGTATATGTCCTGTCAGGAGGATGTCCTTTTCTCCGTCTACTGCCGTCGACTTTCCCTTTTATTAAATTGAATTTTACCCCCGGACCTGGACGGGGCCCAAGAATTCAAAATGAGGCCAGGCCGAGGCGATATGTTTATGATGCCACTTGTCTCCCAAATACAATTTTCCTGCTTCTTGCATTTGCCGCTCATATTTCAACGCGTGCCACTTGACAATTTCGTCGCTTTTAAATTTGCTTTGACATATTCGGTCGACATCGGCCATTTTCTATATTTCCCCCCCCCCAAACAAAATGGAAAGACCCGAACCCGAAAACACGTCCTTCATCCTACCCGGTCGACCCATCTCTGTAGTCAGTCCGGGAAATCGAATTAAAAACTCATCTTTGCTCAATTTGGGCTTGCTCCTTGCCAGCGCCTGGCCCACATTTGCCGCATCGAGTCGGAGATGATTTAGGCTCGTGTCCTGCCCAAATGCCAAACATCCTTGCCAGCCTGTCGATGCTCTGCGAGAGTGTGTTTGCTTTTTTTATTGTTTTACTAGCAGAAAATCTGTTTTATTCGTACGTTTTTATTGTTGCTACGAGTAATTTAATGTGTATTGCATTTAAGCTAATATTTGAGTTGTTGCTCAGAGGTTTTAATGCTACTTTTACGATCTCTTTTATGGCCTTTTTATTTGCTGGCCTTAGTCCTGGCCAGTGGCCTTAGCCACTGTCAGAAGCAAGGGGTGCCAATTGTTGCCGTTGTGTCGGCAACTTTACTCAACTAATTTCAAGCAATTACAGAAAAGCTACGGCGGGGAGACGGCTCCCTTATTAATTATTATTTCCCTCAGACGATTGCTCCGTTTATGAGGTTCGACACTTCAATGGTAGCGATATCAATCATTGTAAAAGGACTCAGCCGAACCAGGCCAGACAGAATTGAACCCTTTAAGGACCCATTAGATACACTTGGGTGACTGCCTCCCAGGATATTAAAGGGGGTGAGTGTGTGTGTTTTAAAAGGATAGGGTTGAAGCGAATTCTTCAAGTTGGCTTTCTTAATCTCGACCCGTGCTAGTTTCGTGGGGCGGGAGTGAGGGCGGATGTGGGTCACATCAAAGGAGCCGCATCTGGAATGCAAACAAAGATAATCTTGGCCTCAATTTATTTACCTTTCGCTGACCAAACCAATTTACGATTTTAATCAGACCCGAGTGGGCAGGCAGAGAAGGAGCTGCCATCAAAGCAAATAGTTGAGCTGCTGTCACTGGCGAGGGCAAAGGTTCCCGGGTAATGTCCAGTGTCCAAACTAATTTGACGCTGACGGGAGACGAGAGTAGAGCAGAGAAGAGAAAGCGATTCAGCCTGGATGTCCGGGTGTCCGGCTGTCTGTTTCTACGACTCCGTTTGTCCGTCAGTCCTTCTAACCAACTGAGTGACAGACATGTCAGCCCATCCCCTGCATAATGCTTATTACCGCAATCATTTACGGCACTGGATGGAGGTTTCCCGAAAGAGGTCCTGCCTTTGCCTCTCTGGCCGACTAGTTTCTGTGTCATTTCCCGAGGAATGCAATATGCAATCTCCAGGACTACTCGGCGCACACGCCCACACATTAGTGAAAGTGTTGCAAGCAGTGAGAGGGTATAAACAAACGAACAATTGCTCTGAACTTTACGCTATCTGTGCCAGCGCACAGCTTCAACACTGAGAGAAATAAGGAAGCTTACTATGCACTATGCCCACTTACTTATGCCTATTTTTGTTCTCAGTGTAGTGTTCTATGTGGCATGCAACAGTTTCTGCCCTTTAATGGCGATCTCCTGGCAACTAAAAACCTAAATTGTTAACACACATGCGCCTGAATGTGCGTTAGCCTGGTGTTGTCTTTGCTATTATGAATTGTGCAATTGTCGTCGACGCCAGCGCAATGTCCTTTCGCACCCAGCAGCCTCGTCCCGGCCCCATGGCCCCTTTTCATTCCATTCTCCATACACTCCATCTCCCTGCCAGCTGACAGACAGCCAGTCAGTCAGCCAGTCACTCCTTTGCTCCCCCTGTTAGTCACTTCTAGTGCTTGGTTTCATTCCGATTGCCTGCTCATCAGGCAGCAGCTCTTTGTTTGTCGCCAGCTGAAAGGACGACTCACACGGCGTATACGGAATGCTGTCTGCGTTTTCCGTTTTGCCTTCTCCTGCCTGCATTTGGTCCCATTTTTCAACCCACGCGACTCACTCCGCACTACCCCATACGATATATGCTAGCTGTAGTTGTTGCACTTGGCACTCCTGGTAAATGACTCTTCAACGTTTGTCGTATTTGTCTGGGAAGCACTTTGAAGTGCCAAATATTTTTACATTTGTTGTAAACTGGCATTATATTGTTGCTGCTTTTGTCATTTGTTTTGGGCCCCAGCAGCCCATCCAACACTTTCTCTTTCTCACTCGACCTGCTCATGACAAATGTCCTTCTCCCGGATATACCAACCTCCCTCTAAAATGCCTCAGCCCTGCGAAGCGTCAGGCCGAGCTGTTCTCCTATTTATGACACCGGCACTACTCTAATTAAGCCGCCAAGTGCTCCAATCAGCCAGGTGAGCGTCGGAGCTGTTAATCAAGCCAGGTAGCAAGTATTTAATTAACTCCGCGAAATGGATCTGTGATGGAATGGTGGCTCTATCATGATTCTTTGGGCCGTAAAATCTTTTACCGGCATTTCCAGGGCTTACCAGAGAATCGCTGGGGTAGTGGGGGTGGATTGCTTTAACATTTATGCGCTTTTCCCGGCACATCAAAGTCATCAAATGAAACGAACAGCGACTGGCAATTGCAATATCTCGCTGCCAGGGAGGCAGCACGAGTGAGCTATATGTATTTATATTCGAATCAGTGCACCATCCAGACCAGTCGGAGGGCTTGGCGTTCACTGTGTGGGACTGTCAGCTAGTTTGCATTCATCAGCAGCAGCAGTGCGGCAGCAATTGAGTGACACACACCATATCCCGTATCATCAACAGAATCATCATCATCGGAACCATCATCCGCATCTCAAAGATTTACATGACAGTGCGATGATGATGATGATGACGATTCGCTAGCTATTCATTTGACTGGCACGGCTTTTGATTGCTTGTATTAGTGATTGTCAGTTGGCTAAAAAGGAGGCAGTATTAGAGTGCTCCATTGCATCTGGAATCTCTTATGCTTATGAATATTCCCATTTCTGAACAGCATTTCTAGTTCGTCGCTCGACACATGATTGAAGTGCAAGTCCCGACACCCGCGTCTCGCCTCGAGTCCTATTCCTTTCATTATGGAAGGGCAACTAATATTTGGTGGCTCAAAGCAGCTCCCAGCACTCCAGTGATTGTCAAAAAGGTATTTATTGATTTCCCGCTGCGCAAATGAAAGTTGGCCCAGAGCAATAAGTACAGTCTGGAAGTCCACCAGCAACCCCCGACAAAATAATCAAACATTTCATATGCCATTGTGAGTGCTGTCGACAGTGACTTAGGCATTTAAGCCATTAACACGCAAAGGTCGCCAAATAATATTGATTATGGCCGCTGGCCAGACGGTGGTCCGAGGTCCGAGCTCTGAGCTCCGAGAAACTTGCCCGCCGCCCCGAGAAACGATAACAAATAACAATAACAAATAATCGACACAAAGGACCGTGTTTAGTTTTTGGGTTGGGTTTGTCTGGAAGGACTCGCTCCGGCCCCTGCTCCGGGTCCTTGCATTGGCTTCAGTTTAGTTTGGCTTGTATACTTAAACTGTTTTCGCTTACACCGTCTGGCTGCCTGAGAGCCATTCAGGCATGAAAACAGTTTATAGAGAATTTAAAGACATGTTAAATTACATTGAAATGGATCCGACTTCCAATTATTATTACAAACTGCAAGGGATAATTTGAATGCATTTAATACTCTGCTTATCAATTTCAATATCATGAAATTGTATATATATTTGTTAAAAACATATTCCACTATGATAGCCCTTAAAAAGTATATAAAAAGTTTAAATATCCACTACAATTTTATCCAACTCCACTGCAATATTACTGACTTCCCCTGGGTCTCTCTCTGAAGGCCTTCATCCTCTGCTTCTTTGAGGGCTTCAGGTACAACCTGCGGCATAAATGGGAGCATATGTTCTTAAATTGTCCGAATTGGGATTGTATTTCGCTGATACATACCTTTCGCTCCTGGGCATGTATCGATTGCAGACGAAAGCATTTACCAAATGCATGAATCCTGCTACAAGACCAAAGGACGAGACAATATAAAACATGAACAGGTAATTGTTCCCGCAGTGTTGCATAATCACTTCTATAAGCAAGAAAAGAGAGGTGGCGGTTACGGCCAGGCCGGCGAAAAAGTTGAACACTACCGACTGGGGAAAATAAATACGGTCCATAACAAGTCTGAAAGGACAATCGGAATAGTCGAATACGCACAATTGGATCCAGGCCCACAGTGCAGCAGCACAATCGAAAAAGGACAAACACCACACTGTGGAGGACGAACGTCGGCAGAATGAACAGGCACAACGTCGGCGAAACGGTGAACTCATTTCCCTGGACACACGACGAGGAGAGCAGCAGGACGAGACACACGGTGGCAGCAACCTCCAGGATCTGTCGGATGAGAGGCGGATGGGAACGGATGAGATTATCTAGCGACCCCACGACCTCAAAGATGGCAATCTAAGTTACCGCCGTCAGCAACTGGAGCACAAAGTTGATCACACGATAGGGACAGGACATATTCGCTACCGGCTACCAGAAATTTTGTTCAACTCGTTGACACTAAAAACAAATTTGACTACACTGAGGAAAACTATGAAATGATTGAAAAAAGGGTGGAGAAAATATCATGGGGAGACAGATCCCCAGAAACCTTCTTTTTAAAATCACAAAGTTCATTCAATAAAAATCTTTCATTGAAAGGGATAATTTCACTAATGGAATTCGAGGGTCCTGTATCATCGAACTGTGAAATCTCCTTTGTTTCGAGTGCAGAATGAAAATGTCTGTGGGAAAAGGTCGAACTAACCCCTCCATTTATCCACTTGGCAGCAACATTTTATTGCTCCCTGTTGTTCTTTTGCTGTTTTTTTTTTTTGTTTTTGCACTTTTACCCTTTTTGTTTTGTTTTGGCCAAGCTAATCTAATTGGCCTCGATAGCAAAGTCGTTGCCCTGCCACGCATTTGTTGCTATTGCCATGGCTATTGCCATTACTGCTTCTGTTGCTTTGTTTGCACTAATTTCATTACTTGTGGAATGTGGCGATGATTTCATGCAATTTAAAGCCACATTTTTCAGTGGAAAAGCATTTAGCATAGTCGCTGTCGCAATTGTCGCTGTGTGTGTTTGGCTGTTTGTTTTTACCTGGCCGGGCCCTCAAAAAAAGTGGGGCCAGTACCCAAGAGCCCATAACCAGCTAGCCATCCCGTAACCAGCTAGCCAGAGTAGCCGCGTTCCGGCCCACTCCAGGCTTTTATAATAATTGCCTGTTGACACGGGATGCCCGGAGGGTGAGTTTGGAGGATGGGTTGGGTTTCGAGTCAGGGGTCTGGGGTCTGGGTTTTGGAATTGGAACTTCTGAGCATCGAGCAGTGAAAATGCTGTTGATAAATGAAATTTTCAAAACGTGAACCAACAGAAGGGGAATGAAAACAAACGAAACGAATCCAAAACCGAACAGTAACAAAGAAACCAAGTAGGGGACGAAACGGGGGCGGCAAATATAATTTAATTTGTTTGCTTTAAAAAGGTACTCGTACTTCAGCCCTTCCTGGTCTTACCTTTCCATATCCCATGATTGGAGACTGATTCAGAAAAACACTTAATTTATTAAAAGTCCTTCGAGTGATCGATACTTCCTCAGCACCCACAGAGAGTTTGACGGCCCTCGAGTGACATAAATTTTGCCAGCTTTGTTGTGACAATTGCATATTAGCCAAACATGACACTCCCTTGACTTTTTTTTGCCAGAAATTTATGAAAAAATGCTGAACAGACCAAAAAAAAAAAAGAAAAGTTTCGACTTGAGAACGAAGGAAGATAAGAAGTGAAGTGAACTCCCCAGAGCCGGCGAAAGAAACAAAAATAACCAGAAGAAAGAAAAATGTTCTCAAATAAACAAAAGCGGAAATGTAGGCTATGATTTGCTTACTTTCCAACAGGCCAGAGGAGGATGGGTGGGGCCAGGACTCCTGCCAGGGGAATTGAACCAATGACAAGGCGGTGTGGCAGAAGTTCCGAGAAAGAGCTGGCGAAACATAAATCAAATGCATGTAAAATTTTGTACTTTCCGCACACATATCCTGATCCTGTGCAAGTGCATTGGGGGCCGGCCCCAATGGCAGGACAACTTGTAACAGGGGCGGTCGGAGTGCGAGTGGAAGTGGGAGTGCGTTGTGTTTTGTGCACATCCGTTAACTTTGTCATTTTTGCTCATTTCCTTCCGGCATGTGCAAGAAAACTGCAGCTGAAGCAAACGAAATGATTCCCAGCAGTGCTCCACTGAGCCACAGTGCTCCGCCGAACCACCGAGCCACTGAGCCACTGACAAGCCGTAAGAAACTCAACCGAACTGCAAACACTGGGCTGCCTGGCGAAACAAAAGCAATGCGGAAAACGGCAATAAGTTGAGGGCATAACTTTCAGGGCCTTCGAGAACAAGCATACTAGAGTAAAGCCTACTCTGACTTAAGACTAAATGATACCCGGTACTTAAGCATTAAGAATTTAAGAAAGTTATTCCAGAGAGTATATTAGAGACTTACGATAAGTACCATTTATGTTAAGACTTTATGTTTAAGGCTTGTTTAGGCATAAGTACTATTTTTCTTAACCTTTGCACTTAGACACCTCTATACCTCTAGTATAAGGAAATGTTAAGGAAAATGCATTTTCCATGAAATTAGAAACGCAAAACACAAGAACATGGGCGAACAAAAAGTCTTGAGCCCAATAACTTGCTTGTAGGAATTTAATTATTTTGCTGTTGGGGCTTCTGTGTTGCAATTTGGTCACGGGGGTCTTATTTTTTGTACATTACATGATACGCAAGTTATTCCACTGCCACCACCACTACCACCACCCTGAGAGAGGGAATCATGTGCCAAAATAACAAAACTTTGCTGCAATTTTCATTCGCATTTATTGTGTTGACATGCTGCCACCCTGCGTACCACACTGCGTATACGTAATACGTATCCTTGGCGCAGCCAAACAATTTATTTATTTAAGTTGAGTTAAGTCGAGTTGAGTGGCGCGCCAAGGATGAAATGTAGAAGTGAGAAAACTTTTCCGCGTATGTTTACGTTTCGGGAACTGAGAAATATTTGTGCGCTTTTCGCTGTTTGCAGTGTCCGTATCCGATTAGGTGGTCGCTCTATCGGGGGATCCCATGGGTCATCCCCCAACCACCTGCATTGCTAAGCATATGCATTCAAAGTCAAAGCCACATTAATTAGCATGCTTAGCTGACTTTTATCAAAAACCAATTAAACCCCGCCTCGGCCCACACCCACTCACACATACACGAGCACAAAGTAAACTTGATAATTAAATGAGTCTGTGTGAGTGGCTTTGAGTTCAAAGTTGACGGCGAACAAATTTTTCTCTCTTTTTTTTTAACCTTTTTCCCTATGCTATAGGAGCTATGACACATGCGACATTTTTTTGAATTATACGGAACGAACGAGTTAGGGGCCCGAAACAGAAGCAAATAAAAATCACAAATAACATTATTAACGTTAAATTAAACTTTGGAATTTTGTTTGCACATGCCGAGCCAGACATCCTGAAAAGAAACCAAAGAGTTTGTGGGGCGGCAGAGTAACTTTTCAGAGTGCATAGAAGTACATTAAAAACTGGAAAACCGGAAGCGAAAATACAGGCCTGTTTACGTTTACCGTAATTTGCGGCGCACTCTGAAAACATAATCAAAGACATCAAATAAAGCCGCAGGACGAAAGAGAGCTCTTAGTACACAGTGGCTTAAATTAAAGGAGGGGTTGTGGTTTTATTTATATTTAAGACACAAGTAAATTCAATTATTTTGAAGATAAAATTAAGCTAAAAGTTAATTGATTATTAAAAAAATCAATTACTTAAGAGTTTTAAGTCCTAGCCACTTTCTTACCGTGTATAGAAGTGGTTTTCAAAAAGGGAAAACGTGGTCGTAATCGAGCATCTTACCTAGTCAACTCCTGTGTAAATGTAGTGTGATTTTTTCCAGATTTTTCCGCACAGCTTTTCCAAATCCCCCTACTCTTCAGCCTCGCAGGCAGCCCACTTTCTCCTCGAACCCCCAGCATCCGACTGTGGATGTATTTGTCATGTTGCAAGCGTATGCGTGACACGTAGTAAATTAAATGTGAAACTCTGTAGCAGAGTGTAGCTAACTGAGAGTTTAGTGTTTGTGCGAGTACAAGGACGAGGAGGACGAGTGAGTTTGAGTGGCTACAAAGAATGCTGTTGAGCAAACGTTCATGCCTCGGACCCATTCTCTTGCCCCGACTATAAATCATCAAAGTTCAACGTTTGCCATTTTGTCTACAATGTGAAGGAGTGTTCGAGAGTTGTGCCAGTGTTTGTACCCAAATGTGTTTGCTTTGCAATTTCCTTTTATTTATTTAAAGTTCTTTCGCAAACATTGCGCCAACACCAATCCACCCCACCCGCCTCGCCTCGTAGACATCCTGGCTGAAAGCAATGTTCGCATTAAGTTTTCTGCCAAAAGTTTTAACAAGTAATCTTTTAATTAAGTGCCAAGCCATCCCCATCCTCATCCTCAGACATCTCCTCAGACATACCGGCATTCAAAAATTCAAAAAAACCTTGAATTATGAGAGCAACAGGAAGCGGATGAGGTGGACCGTCGGGAAGTCGGGCGAAGGAAGTTCCAGAAATGGCCTCCGACTGAAATCTAATTTGATTAATGAACAAATGGCGAGCTTAATTAGCACCGAGAAACAAAAACGCGTCAAAACCAACTGGAATCGTCGTTAATGTTTCGGCAAAACTGCATGTGGTGTGAGGGAATCGAGAAATTAAATAAATAACCACAAAACAACAACTAATTGCACCACAAAGCGACAGCAGGGATACAATTCCTGTGAAAAGGAAAAGCGAGGGAGTGAAAAATACCAAAAAGCACAAAAGCAGGAAAACCAGAAAGCAGAAAAGCGAAAGCAGAAAATATTTCACAACTAATAAAAACATTGCGGCGTACTAAATCAAGTGGAAAACTGTAAAATACATTGCAACAAAGGTGAGCTGGGAAAACCGTGGGAAAGCAGCAACCAGAAGAAAAGTAGGGGATGTGGCGCTGAGAAATAAATGAGAAAGATGGTAAATAGTTTTCCCCCAAGGGGCAGCACAAATAATGGCAACTGACATTTGACATTAGTTTTCTTGCCCCAGAACATTTATATTTTCCTGCGGCCCTAATTAAAGCGATAGTCATGAATTGTAATTGCAGCACTTAAGCAAACACAGCCAAGTGTATTCATCTTTAAATGACTGCAATATACACAGCCGGGAAACTCTTTTCAATTAGGAGTATTACATGAAATAATAACAAGAATTTGCTTGATTTTAAGAAGAAAGAAACTTAATTCATTGATTCTGTTTACTCAGTTTCCCCGGCAAGTCAATGCACTCGCTGTCGCTTTTTCCTGGGGGTTTTCTCTTTTTCTACAGCATTGGATCGCATTTCGTTCAACAACAGAGTCGAGTGTACATTGTCCGGAGAGTATTTTTTTATACCCGATACTAGTATAGTTCAAGGGTATACTGAAATCGTACGAATGTATCTGACTTAAATCTCCGTCATTAAAAAGAACATATGTACTTTCTTGAGCAGCATCAGCAGCATCAGTCGAATCAGCCAGTTCAAAAAAGTTTTTGAAGTAAATATGTGATGCCAATCTATTCCAAAGTTCAACTTATATTTAGAAAATGTATAGATAGAGTATAGAATATAGAATAGATACTATATTGAATTTTTATTCTTCTTTCCTACCGGATAATTGCAGTGGCGTGTTCGAAAGCACCCAAAATAATGCACAAATCTTTAAAATTTGTCACTTAGTTATCAAGAACAGTACCGGGTATCATATAGTCGGGAAACTTGACTAAAGCCGTCCCTACTTGTTTTATTGTTGAGTAATTGGACTCCACTTTCAATTGCTACGCTCTAAGTTCCTCTTGAGCTCCGGACCTTAATTGCACTTTAGCAACGTTCGCTCTTGTTTGTTTTTGTGTTTGTGTTTGTATTTGTATTTTTGTTTGACCAAATTTCATTGCTTTTCCTAGCGCTCCCTCTTGATCGATTGATTGATTGATTGATTGATGGAGTGATTGATTGCTTGGCTGCATGTTGTTCAAGTAGCCCGAGCAAAGGAGAAAAATATTTGCATAGATTTAACTAATTGCCGGACAAATGAGAGCCGGCCAGCAACGTCAACTTTAAACAGTTTTCCAAGTCAGGCCTAGTCCTGTTTTGTTTGAGATTATATTGAGAGCAATTCACTCGAACAAATGTTTGACAAAGGATTTTCGGCATTAAAAACAAACAGTTTAAAAACTTTTCTTTCAGTGCAACGGAGGCTGTGTGTGTTTGCTTTGTTATTAATTACAATAAGCTCTCTGTGGAAAGTAAAAATTTGTAAAATCAAGCAAAGATCAAAAGCTAAACGACAATCATAATTAAGTTTTCTGGCGAGCGATTCCAATTAGCAAGAATAATAAAACCAGCAACGAAGATAAAGGTCAGGCTCAGGACCTTTTTGGTCAAAAGTATTAGGAAGAAAACTTGGCCAACATTAAGCCTCTGCTTTAAAGTTCAAAATCTCAGCACTCGAAAAACTAAAGAAAATTTTATTGGTACTAAGACCTAAATCACTTTAAGCTTTGTTGGCCGGCATCTTTTGGGAGGATACTTTTGAGGCCACATAACATTTCAATTTCCTGGCCATGAATAATGGCAAACGTCCAACAGTCACTGGCCAAGCTAGTCTCCATTTATTAGCCAGTTTTGGCCACCGGAAACTAGTGTCGGAAAGCCCGGTTCTGTCCAGAACGTTTGTGGCCACGTTTTGCGGCCAACTAATTGGGCTAATTGTGATACATTTTGATAGCTATTGATTTTTTTGATGAATTCGACCCCGTTAATGAAATGGATTGTGTATCCATTATAAACTAAAATAAATTTTAAGTTTTGTTGTCGGTTGAGGCAACTCATCAAATGATATATCCTTGTAAACTGACAGCTCCACTCAGTATCAAGTTGGTTTTTCTCAATGACAAACGAGACATTGACATGAATATTCACTTTTGAGCACTTCCAACCACACTCACACCTTCAAACTGATGGATTTGCCGTCACTTAATATGCCTACACGTTAAAATTCATCCCCCCATTTGTCAGTCATATTCAAAACCCGAATGACAGCCAACACAACCAGCTCTATACCATTTAACATATAACATAAAGAATGGAATATATGTACGTACGAGAACATGCATATTTGTGGTAATTTTATACCATACTCAATACTCATTTAATTTGGGCCTCTTCATTATGCTAGCCCACTTCATGAATGTCAAAAATTGTCGAGTGTAATAATTGATACAAAAAATTAATAAATAAACGAAAATTTAATTACCTGATGGCTATTTGCTTTGGCCGTCGTCCGTTTTAATTGCTATAGATGCGACAATGGTGGCGACAAGTGCACGTGGCCTAAAAACGATAAAAGGTAGAAGGATTCTTGTAAATAAATAATACAATGAAATTTATAAGCGATGGTTGATTGGCATGTTATGCATGAATGGAGTTCTTTTCGACCAAGAACTTGTACAATTCAATCAACGGCCGTACCGTTGGGGAAAAAAGCCTCCCAAAAATGATTCACCGCATCCGCAATCACTAAAAATTAATTTCAATTTTATTGCACCGCCACACTGACTGAAGTGGCGATGAAGGTGGAAATTCCTGGCCGCAGTGAGGAAAACTGGGAAAACCCATGCCGGCCAGGAGGTCGAGTAAAATATGCAGATCAACCGAGGGGAGGCCGGAGGAAAAATGGAAATGCTGAAAACGGTGGAATGAGTCGAGTGTATTTCCAGCAAAAGCCAAACATTTATGAAAATGCAAAAGCGTTTTTAGGGTTTACCCCAGGTAAGCTGCAGCAGTGCCTGCAGAACACGATATTAATGTGAATAGCTGCCTCGCTGGCAAGCAAAAACGCAAGCCAGAAACTAAACTGGCAGCAGCATCAGCAGCAGCAGCAGCAACAGCAGTTTCTGAAGGGGAGCCAAAAAACAGAGCATGAATTGCGGTTTAAGCATTGAATTATGAATATTTCTTTACCTCGACCCCGACCTGGTTTCCCCCACCCTGTGTCCCGGATGATGCCAGCGAACATTTATCATCGTGGCAGCCGAGATTCTGATTAAAAGCGAGAAATGGAGAAATGTTTCGTAATAATCCCCTAGCTCAAAAACCCGACATAAACTTATTCACAAAATGGTAAATCCGTGCCAAATAAAATATATATGTAGGGAACTGCATAGCGCGTACTCATCAAACTGTAGAGGCTTTTCATATTATTCCCAAAAATCACGAAATTTGGCGTATTTGGTGCTCGCTTTATATTTATCTGAATGATTATAATGATGAGGAAAAATTTGCATTCAATTTGTAAAGCAATTCATTCGGTTCTTATGCTAAATGGCAATGGCATTATATAAATTAGACAAAAGCCAGAAACTTTTGCGAAGAACAAAACGAAGAGCCTGAAGAGGGAAAACTAGTATCCGACCATAAGCAGCTGAACTCGGCCAGTATAATTGGCACAACTTTTGCTCGGTTAGCATGAAAACTCATTTATTTCAGCGCAATCAACATACACATTGAGAGCCAGCCGGACGGACGGATAGTCGAACCGACGGAAAGTGGAAGTTATAGCAATTAGCGCACCCGGACACCGAGCCCCCCCTCAATAGGGTCCCATTGAATTAGGCAACCATCCAGACAACCGTAGCCTGGCAACGCCGACAAATAAAAAATAGGAGAAAGTTCAACTCTAGCAGATTGATGTAAGGACTGCATAAAAGGATATTTATTTTTTGCCAGCAGCTTGTCTTTGGGGCTTCTCTTGATGAATGCCCTAAAGCATTTCCAGTAACCTGTTACGTTATATTACAAGGATAAATTAATAAGTTGGTACAAGCTTTTTAAAGTAATATGATTCTTTCAAGATTACCTTTAACCTTTTAATATTTACCCTTTCATAACCCAAAAAGACCCACCACCTTTTCATTTTTAATAATTTATCTAAAAATAGAACCCTATTGGTAATTAGATTGTTGTCACAGATAGTTAAATGACTTTTGTTTGTAGCGGCTGAAGGTGTTCTCACAACACTTTGGACATGTACTTTGGAATAATTATGAAAACAGTTGTATTGATTTATTGAAAATTGTACTTTATCTAGAAAAGCTATCTGAAAAGAACTCATGGCGTAAACAGAAACATGGAGTTATAGATTTTCATTATAGGCCTTTGTTTTCTTTACGCTGACTGATGTTTCAGAAAAAATGAATTTTTCATTTAATTGAGTCGGCAGACGGCATATAATTCGCACAATTTATGCACAATACCAATTTGCATAATTCAACGCAACAAATCACAAATCAAATGTTTATTAATGTCCAGACATTGGCTTAAATCTACATCCATCCTAAACACACACAAATGTGTGCCGTTTTTCAAAATGTCCCCCCAAAGTCCCTGATATAACCATCCATATCAATATCATTTTGCATTTTGCGAACACGCTTCGCTGGCCGGTCCTCATAAATTATGTGAAAACAACTCAATCAAAATGCAAGCTGACAGACACAAAGCAGCAGGGGATGTACAGGACGAATTTAGGACGAACAAAAAAAAGTAAACAACCAGCTAAAAACAAATGAATTAGCCATATCTGTGCCCTGGCAAGGGTGAGTGACGGCGTGATAACGCGTTATTACACTATAAAATCATTAATATGGCGGCTTTAATGTCGCGGATATGTAAATGCGGGCCCGGAACGGAATCCCGACTCCTGTCACGCGAAACGCTTATAAAAAATATAGACAACGAGCCCAGTAATGCGGCATTAGCCGACTATAGTCAACAGTCTTTGACAACGCCTACCATTTGAGCCATTACCGAACACTTTGGCCATAAACAGCACACACACACGCTACAGGATACGTTGTGTGGAAGTGTGTGTTGGGGAGCCTAGGCAACGAAATCTATTAGTTTCTCGAAGCCTGCTGGAAATTCTAGCTACACTTCAAGAAAATTTAGTTTTTAGAGGATTTTTAATATTTGTATCTGTATCTGATATGTGGCTTAAAAAGAGAAAAAAAAGAAAAGAATAAATCATATACATGGTCCCGAGGACCTATCATTTATTTCTGTATCTTTCTCCAAGTGTATCCAGCCTTGGCAAAAAAAAAGGGGCGAGGTGGAAAGCGGCGACAATTCCGTAAATTTGATATGCGCAATTTGTTGGCAAACGAGGACGCAAAGACACAGGACGAAGGACACCGAGTCGGTAGGTGAGGTGGTTGAGCAGAGCCACTCATATAACTACCTCCTGGCAACCTGTTGCCGCTTGTTACGCACTTTTATGACGCCAGCGGGTGGGCTTCGAGTGGATTGCGTGTGTGCGTCTGCAGTCAGAGTCCTCAAAGAAAAAACTCCGAAAAAAAAAACAAGAAAGCAGCCACAAAGTCGGCTCCATAAAAGGTAATATGCCACATGACACTCTGATGAGACACACGCTAGTAAAAGTATTTTTTTTTTTCAGACTACTATAACATAATCAGCATTGAGACAGAGGTTTTGTCTTCATAAGATATGATCTGGCATTTCAAACAAAAAATGTTATAGTTTAGTTTGTAGCTTTGTTTATCTATTAAGATATGCAGGGGAAAAGAAAATAAGTTTTTCCAAGAGCCCCCGATATGCTTATAGTCTGTGCCTGGGAAAATCACAGTGAAAGACAAAAGTAGCCAACTTAAGTTGGAAAAGGATTCTTTTTCGGCTTCTGTTGCAGCTTTGGCATTTCTTATGCAACTGATTGCATTTGGCCAAGAGCAGCAGAACCAGAACCAGAAGCAGGAGCAGAAATAGCAACTGCAACGGCAACTGCAATTGAATTTTATAACAAACAATTTTACGCTTTAAGCACACTAGAATTCAGCTTCCAATGAGGTTGCTGCCTTGAAGTGCCCGGAGAGTGCGTCATTGACTTTGCCTTTGGCCAGGCTCCTTTCAGTTTTTTTCCTATTTATCGTTATTTACCATTAGCTGACTTTCCCAGCTTCATCTACCGCTCAGAACCCCTTCCCAACTTGGCTAGTGGACTCTGTAACGACCACAATAAGCATTCTGGCCCAACGACTTGCCACTGGTTCGAGCTCGCCTTTATTTTTCCCGGCTTCCTCTTTCGCGAAAAGTTTCATAAAAATGAGGACAACAAAAAACAAAATCAATTCACCTATTCAAGCAATTATAAAAGCAATAGTTACACAAGCTTCTCAATTGAGTCTTAATTAAATAAAGTTTTCTATTTAGACACTGGTGAAAGATGAATCTTGGTCTTTACATTTCCATTATGTTTGCTTATATTTTTATGGAAATTTTGAAATTTTTCATATGGGATTCAAAACTGATTTACTTTCTATATTAAATAATATATGTAGATTTATCGCATTAGCATTTCTCGCAGACCGCACACACGCACTTAAGGCTCGAGCCCTCCTCGGCCCGGGATTCATGACAAAGTTTCGGCGCCCCCAGAGCCAGGGCCTCGGGTTAACCCAGCCAGCCAGCCACCCGCCCATTCTAATCCCATTCCAGACCCAAGTGTATAATTATTCTATCTGTCGCATATGCATGAGATCAGCTATAAGGCAGGGCACACGCCCTCTTTCGGGGGCTGCCTCGCCGACTTCATGTACATACATCCTTGTACGTCCTGTATATATTCATATGCGTATGCCGAAAGTTCTTCGCTCTCCCACTCGGCTGCTTCATTAGCAACTTTGTGCGTATTCATTAGGAAGCAAAAGCTGAGCTGAAGGAGAAGCTGAAGCTGAAGCAGCAACAGGGGTCATAACCCCCCCGAAAGCCCACAGCTGCGACGGGTTGATAAAAGATTTATGCGAGCACTGATAACCCGACAAAACGCCCACATCCATAGACATACAGCCTGGTCCTGTATAAATAAATGGAAGGAAAACAAAAAAAGACCAAAACCAGAAAACCAAAATTTCTCAAGTCGGGCGGCCAAAATCAAAAAAGAGAAAAGAATGAAGACGAAAATTAAAGCACATAAAAGCAGCTGCTTGATTTGGCATTCAACACAAAAAACCGTCAGCTGGGGCTCCCAAGCAAAGCCCGTCTGACAGACTGGCCGGAAATTTTCGAGGGGCTTCCCCCTTGACAGCCATCCTTTGGACTCCTCCATTTCCATCTCCGCTGTAACCGCAACTTGTTTCAGGAAATGTTTTGCCAAAATGTTTGGTAACTCGACGGCGGCTCTTTCACATGTTCATAAATTAAAATGCCGCAAATCAAATTCACATAAGGCTTCAAAACACTCAAACGCTCGGCTCAAAGAGGCTCACCAAGCGGGATGGAGGGTGGCATGAGTGGGGCCCACAAAAAGACGAGGCAATCCT